TGAATTATTCTACCTGTTTTTACTATAAAAATAATTACCACTCTTTCAGGCAAAATGAATTCTCACAGGCCATGTATTATCATTATTATTCTTTCCCTGAGAAAACAGTTATGTAATTTGGCCTACATGTCTTCCATCAGATCAGATACAGGGAACTCTAACATGAGGTAACTTCAGCCCACAAGATCCACATTTGTATTTATTCGGACTAACAAAAGCATATCCGTCGCGCTTGTGTGTGTGTGTGTGTGTGTGTGTCAATATTTGTTTTTAGTGAAAGTATTTATATCTAAGCAATCTATCTGGACTTATATATCAGCATCATTAATCTAACATCAAAGTTTAAAGTTTTCAATAAACTTTACACTTTCAACCTTGAAGTTATAAACTTTACATTTCAAAATAAGTTATGTTACAATGTTCACTATTCACAGCTTATTAGATACAATATAATTTGTTTAACGTTACAACGTGTTGTGAATAGAACTCTAAGCTCATTTTCAAACAAACAACGATTCTCCTATAATGTTTAAACACAAAAATCATTCAATTTTGTGGGAAATCCAACAATATTGTTGCTAGTAACTATGGGTTTATAAATTCTACAGAGTAACACGACTTAAAAAAATCTCATGTCTACACCTTAATTCTTTGAGATATTGTTTAGGATAACAGTAAACAGCTTCAGTGTACTGAACACCATTGGTTTTACCTTACGTTAGATTAAGTTATTACTTATATAGTTATCACCAGCTATACAACAGTTCCATATATGATAAGACATTACGTGGTTAGCTTAGTTGCATTAGTTTGTGTTAATTTGTTATTCGGCATATACACTATTACTATAACTTTCCAAGTCGTATTATTATTATTATCGTTCGGCTTTTACGGAAAGTTTAACGTTATTTTTTACTTCCTGTAGCCAATTTTATCTCTTCGTTAAATGTAAAAAGTAAGTATGTTTAGCATGTTGTTTACATTATATTTCGTTTAACATTTTTACATTTTCGAGGATGATTGAGGCATTATTTTAAGTTTTTATTTATTGTCTTGTATCTTTATAAACTGTATTCTCTAAGTAAGGTATACTATATTATTTATTTATTGTTACTGTCATAGGAATATTGGTTAAACTATTTATATATTAAATCTTATTACTTCTTAATTTTACTATTTTTTTTATCGTTATTTTTTATTACAGAAATTATTTTGCATTGTCAGTGTAGTGTAAGACTAACCTAAATATCCTAAGCTGACCGAACTTCGTAAGATAGCATTAGGATTACGGCCGAAAGTATCATTTAAAGAAAGGGTACCCAACTGATGAAATAATATATTCTAATCCTGTTTTCTGCTACCTTTATCATAGTAACTAATTTTAGATTTTGACGAGACAACAAGAAAAATAGTGGTGTCTGCCTCCCATTTGAAAAGCTGCGCACGCCGGCAAAGCTCAACATTCACCTCTGCAATGAAGAGAGAACAGGCATGAATAATCTTGATGTCAAATTTTATTTCGAAAGGAGGATATTCTACACTAAACTGTTAGGAATTAATCACACTATCATTCAGTTTCAAAATGTGACACAAGTTAAAGAATAAAAATTTAGATTTACCATATGTTATTGTTGAGCGGGGTCTCTGAAATGTTCAACAATTACTTTTCGTGGTGGGAGGTATACGTAGCTCAGAGTTTTGGCTCTCAGTGAAACCAAAAGTGCAACACAATTAACTTTTTTAAGTCCACGAAATAATTTAAATTGATAGATTAACTTAAACGTTTCCTGTCACTGGGGACGGGTACTTTTGCTTGTACTTAATCAGCTATACTAATTGCTTGGTTTATTTTAGTTTCGCGTGTCAGTGCATAGCTTGCTCTGATCGGAAGCTAACGTCAAATTAAAAGTACCTACTGATAAGAGAACCTACATAACGTAACACAAAGCAGTTGAGGAACTATTCTGTATCCCACCATTAACGGAAGTTAATATTGATTATAAGAGCTACCATGGTTACGTACTGACAGGATAACCTGAACAAAAAACTGACTTACGTTTTCCGAAGGCAATTAAAATATCTACATTGTCCACAGGAGAAATGTTATTCTCCTGGAAAACTAGAGGAATTACTTCACTCCACATCCGGAAGGCCAGAGCTAAGGCTGTCCTTTGTGTGATGATTGGTAGTTGGCTACTGTAGGCTGAACTTACGAGTCTCCACGTTACCAAGGTCTGCAAGAATACAAGTAAAAGATCACGTGGTGTAAATCTTTGTGATACCTGCGGTGGGCACAGCCCAGATAGCCTACTATACAGCTCAACGGTTAATAACAAACAGGTGTCAGATAAAATAGAATTATAGCCTTCTCTGTGTGTGTGTGTGTTGCAATGATAAAAGTTCTGTAGCGTGCGAAAGATGTCACATAGTTGACTGTTAGAAAACTTCAATGAACCAAACCCATTTCGGCACACATCTAGTGAGACATAAGAAACTATGAACCAATTCCCACTAGTCTTGTTGAATTCTAAATGTGATACGTATATTACGAGTCAAATCTGTGTAAATTCTTTATTTTTTTTAATATTTTTACTTAATAAATAAATAATGTTATGTGTTCTGTTTTCACTCATTCGGGTTTTCATCCACAAGTCTATTACATATATTTCTCAGTTGTTATAATTTTAGGAATGCTGAATATTGACAAAGAGAAAAGTGTCTATTTTGAAACGCGGTACTGCGCTTGCTCAATAAAATTTGGATTTAAATACCCCACTGAGTTAATTCTTTTATGTTTTTTTTTATCATTATTTATCCGCGCTATGAATTTAAGACGGGAGTTTTCACAGTGTTGTGTACGGAATTACAACTGGTCACAATAACACTTAGCTCAAAACTAATCAACCATCACAGGTTTTTGCTTTTGTGTGTCGGAAATGATATAACAATGTTTCAAAATATTTTTTGGCAGTGAGCGAATTTGTTTAATAATAGTAGTTAGATTGTGTAGAACATATAGAGTGTCTGCTAACCTTAGATAACTGATCATTTGAAACTAGAGTTAGGTTAGATTTTGAATGTGATTACCAATACAATTATGGTCGCAATTGAACGACAAAACGAAAAATAATTTGATGTAAGATGACGAAGTTTTAGGGAAGGGTTAGTGTACGAGAAATATCAATGGATTAAGGAGAGGAAAAAAACATTTTGGCACGGGTCTTGCTACGCCTCTGATTCACAAATAATATTATATATATACATACCTGGGAGCTCTACATATTGGACGCAGACACTCCAAGGACCCCCTTTATTTCAAAGGATCACCGGATATCTTGTGTATTCTAATTATTCGTTAACATCTCGTTGTTAACTCTAATTCTGCATTATGATTATTCGTTAACAGATCACAGGCTGCTTACTAGTTAAGTGTTTTTCCTAGAAAAATACGGTTTGAATGTATACTGTATATAGTATAAAATCATAAATAATATTCAACGTTAAACTGGTACACAATTAAAAACATTTTATTTAGGCCTAACTATGACCTTCAAATTCATTGTAACGTTGAAGCATGTAGAG